AATAAAGTAAAAACTTACCTGGGCATAACCCCGGCACAGATACCTGTAACAAAGATGCCGACGGCCTCTATGCTTAAGCCGGGGATTAGGTCGGTGGTTAAGAGGAAAGAAAGGGATTCTTTCCAGGTAGCCTTAATAAAGGCAGGTAGATCTTGCTCGTTGCAATGCACTTCACTTCACAATAAACACGTCCACTTAGTTCGGCCGCTCGCTCGAGAATGGCGAGAGACCGACAAACACAAAATACCTAGACACCAACTTTTTGGCCCTGGGTGACCACCGCAACGACATCCCCCCCCCTGCCCGCTAACCTTTTCTGTTTCGGAGACCGCCAGGATCAAGAATCGAAGACAACGATACACACACACATACATACCCCCAATACCCTCCCCTCCCGTGCTAGTCTAAGGGCCACCTTAGCAAAGCGCATCCCAGGCTGCATAGCCGCACTACCCTACCCAACCATAAACATGACGCCACCCCCGGAGTTTACATAGACGAGCCGGCGAAGCAAGAAGAGCGCCAGAAGAAAGGGCCCTAGCCGGCGGGGCCCAGCCAGGACAAAAGGAGGTCTCACAAAGCGCCTACACTGGCCTCATTTGCGGTCGGGGTAGACGACGGATGGGGCCCACCTACGAAGGCTGTCCAGGCCCACACGAGATGAGGCAGGATAAAGAGGGATAACCCCCTCGATCCCAAATCATTGAGGCCAATTTTTAGCCATGGAATAATGGCGCGGCGCTGTTAGATAGTCTATCCCGTATCTAGTACTATAAGATCGATGGTTTCCAACCAAACCCATAGAACTTTAATTTACAATACATTTACAATTCTAACATTTTTCTAACATAACCTATTTATATGACCTTTTTAAATATCTGTACTTATACTTTGTTAAAATATTTTATAATAAAGTACTTTTGTCAAATGTTTGTGGTTTTATAATAGACACTACAGTTCGTAGTTCTTTAATATCCCTTATTCTAAATGATCTATTAGATCAGATAACAAAAAATTAAATGAATTATATGTTTTGTGGATCAAGTGTTAAATGACCCGATCCGTCAAGCGTCAAAAAACTTGAGGTGATTTTGATTTTATTTGTTTTGACAAGGAATGTTTAGAATTATGTCTTTTAAAATAGAATAAAATGATTTTCTGACATAAAATCTCGTCTTCGGCTTAACTATGTGACCATGCTCATCCGTTTACCTGTTTTCAGATAATTTATATGTTAAAATTACTAGTGCTTCCGAGAATATATTCCAAATTCTTTGTATATAGTAAAGTCATGGATTCAGAATTATCTCAGAAAAAAGAAGTATCACGAGAAGAACTTGTGGTTCATTACAGCCTAAGTTTTAAATATGTTTGTCTTCTTACGGTGTCTTGTCCATTTTTAGCTCTTATTGTTTGTTTTGTTACGGCTTATATATTTCAAGCAAATGATATTCATGAAACACATTGTCGTGTAAGTAATAACTTGTTTGCCTTCGTGTATATACGACTTTAAATATATGTATTGTAGGTGTACAACATAATCCCTTCTATAAGTGCTATAACAGGTATAAGTCCTCAAAGGTATCTGTGGAGAATTAGCGTGGCATTTCATATAGGACCGAGATTTATAATTTCAGCAGTATACCGAGCATATCATCTGAAATTAATTAACCCATTAGCTCAATCAGAGGTAAATAAGTGTTAGTATTAGGGCAGTTTAGCAGCAGTCAAGAACTAGTATGTACCAGACTACTAAAGAATATTTGACCAGTTGGTTTTTTGCAGTTAATTGACGTTTTGAAGTTAAATGTCCCATACAATTTGAAACTGTTGCTAGAACAAAATTGTATCCTATAATTTAGTAAAATGCTTCAGGTTTTCTAATAAGTATATTTCGAAATTTAATTTTTTGTCTTAATATTCAACGATGTATAGGTTCTATATATCTTTGTAATATATTGAAATGTATTTTTTCAAATAGGAGCTTTATAATATTTTTAGGCTCAACTAAAAGCGCAATTATGGTTAAAAACTGCCTTTTGGTTAAATGTTATTGAAACTGGTTCTTTATGTGGAGTTACGTATATTTCGAACAGGGAGAATTATCGTAAGTGTATCCAAAACTCTCACCCTGCTATATGTGTATATACTCCCTTTCAGCTGTTCATGAAAAACTCTTCATAGTATTTATGATAAGCAGCCTTACACATATGTTGGCATGTATTAAAGGCATAAAGGCAGTTGCTCAAACTCGAAATGATATGAGTCATGTGCGCAAAGGATTACAAATTAAACAAATGTTATTGAATATATCTCTCATTAGTACAATAGGCTTAGTCGGTTTCTTCCTTGAGCACAGACTACTTTGCCATAGAATGGGTAAGTACATGCCGTTAGAATATATAATGTAGGGCTGTGACAGAATCCAGCAGCTACAGTAGGTGCCCCTATACGCCTAGCTTCTCACAAAAATTTAAAAACTAATTTATTTTAATACAATGAATATTTTTTTTCAAATAATTCCTTGTCTGTAATTTTTGCAACTTTTATTATCCTGACATTTGTGTGTACCACACACTTTGTATACGGTATAGGAGAGCCCCTCTCTAATGAAGTCAAAAATAAACTATGCTTCAAAAATGCACAACTAAAATGGTTACCAATTTCAAAGTTGGGCCGTGCACGCCTCTGCCTCTTAGCTACTCTCATGTCAGTGACAATAATGATATAGAATTTATAAATCGTGAAGAAGATAAGTACCTCTTGACTGATTTTCTTTTTTATTTTATTGATTAGATTTTTTCTTATAATTTTTTAAATTTTAACTTTAAACTGTATAAAGAGAGATAATGATGTGAATTAAAAACAAATAGTTCAAGGAAGGTATTCTCCTGTACACCCTGTAAATATTAAAACTGAAATTCAGTAACAATTTCTAATGATATTGCTGAGGAATAAATCTATACTTAATTGAAAACAGGCCTTAACATTGAAATAAGGGCCTATTTTTAGCGGTGCATTAATACAGATGCGAAATGTAATGCAATCGGAAATTTATATCAATACATATTTTTTTTTCAGCTTTTAGCATGTTTGCACTTTGTGAATATGTAATAGCTCTAGCAAACATGGCATTCCATGTTACTGTCATACTAGATTTTCCCACAGAACATGTCATTGTTGCTAAAGGAGTAGTAGCCTTAAACCAGAACCCCAAGGAATTCAGAAAGATTGAGTAAAACATAATTTACTCTTTATTTGATTTAGTGCATTAATATTTTGCTTCATTGATAGATCAGAAATATTAACACTGGTACCTACTAAGAAATTGTAATCAGAATAATCCAAAAGATATTCTCGAATTCTAGTTTTATTTCCATTAAACTTATAATGATTATACATGTGTAGGTTTATATTTGATGATTTTATTTGCATGTGAATGTGCATGCGGAATGTGTTCTAGTCAATTAATTGAAAATTATACTAAAATGTATTCAAATTTATGTTTTCAATTCATTTTTTATTGTACTTCATTGGAGATTGTCTTGCTTATTTACCAAACTTCTTTTTTCTTTAGAAATTATATTTTTACATTTTCATAAATCCTTAGCAATTTTCTTTATAAAGAGCATTAAATCATAATCTAAATTTATTTAATTCAGTGAGTCAATTCTTTATTTGAGATATTAAATGAAGTTCTCCCATTTTGGATAGGTATGTGAAATATTAATAATTTTAATTGTTTTTTTTTTACATGGTTGTATATCCAGCTACAAGACCAACACTTGCATTTAAAAAAGTTGTTAGAGCAGTTCATATTTATTACAAAGTAAAAAAATATCTGCTAACTTAGCATTGCAAGCAACATACATATTTGTAGCTAAATTAAGGCTTTCTAGTATAAAACTGAATTTTAAAGAAATGTTGACATGGATTGAATTAATATTAAGTTATTTTCTCTCAAGTGATAACATTGTCATATTTTGGAATCATTCCATTATTTTTGGAACATTGATATAGGTAATTAAAAAAAAAAAGATGACTAGCTGTATAAGTAACCATTTTCTATCAGAAAAAAAATAGGTAGTTTGGAAAGCATAAAATTTCCATCTATTAGGAAATTGTCTCATCTAATATCTGTTTTAATGTTTTTGATTTTATACAAAGATGTTTTAAATACTATGAATTTAATTTGATTTGCTCAATTTTCCATTGTAACATTAATTAAGAAGTAATGGTTGTGTATTGATTAAACACTTATGTTGTAGGATAGTAATTCGGATTAGAACTGATATTAGTCTTTACAGTTTTAACACTTAGATGTACCATGTGTTCCTAATTATTATTGATGTTGATTATGTATTTTACATTATATTTATTGTATTTTTTTTGTCATGTTTGTGTTTAATATAATGAGGGTATCTTTAAAATCATTGAATACACATTTCTAATTAAAATTAAAATTAGTGCTAATTTTTAGCCTGTGGCATTTATAGTGAAATTTACTTCTTATGTTTAGTAAAAGTGATTCTTCCATTAGTTGACGTTAGTGATATTATTTTTTTTACTTATGGACTTTTATTCATATTTTACAATAACTATTCTAGTCAAATGAAACGTATACATATCGATTGTTCGAATAAATGATTTTAATAGCATTTCTTTTATTCCTTGCCATTTATTACTTTAAATTAGAAAAACTATTAACTGATAAGGTAAGTAAAAAGTAAATAAGGGATGTTATATTACTGAATTTTTACTACACTTTTTTCGATTTCACTGAATTAATCCCAGTTGAGAAAGTCGTTACTTAGAAAAAAGAATAAAAACAAAATAATTTAGGAAATTTACTTTTTAAAATATGTACAATTATCAAAACCCTGGAATAATTCTACCCCTCTTAGAAGCCGTTTTAAGTTTTCTGTTCTTTTTCTCTTTTTTCCTCTTCTCGATATTGTCTGATCTTTTCTGCTGTCTTTCCTCTTTTGCTTTCTGCACACCTTGTTGTCTCTTTTCCCACTTATTTTTGCTAGATCTTTGCTTCTGTTCTTTTCTTTTCAAAGATTTCTTTAATAACGTTGGATCATCTTTCACTTTAACACCTTCAGCCTTGGCAAAAGCATTTTTCCATGCTGTTTTTTCTTTAATTTCAATAATTTTTTCAGTTTCTCCACTCTCCTCCAATTTTTGTAGTTTGTCTTTCTGTTCATCTATTTTTTTCAATAATTTCTTAGGGTCTTTCTCTTGTTTCTTTTGTCGTTTCATGCCTAAATTTGCAAAATCAAATTTTGAAAATACCATTTTATTTTCACTATTAAAGACTGGTTTTGTAGTGTTAGGTTTTGTATCTCCTTCTTCAATTTTAATTTCCGTGTTTGTTAATTTTGCTGCTCGAATCAATTTTTGTTTTGCATTCCGCTCATCCTGCTTACTTTTTTTCTTCATACGATTTTTTAAGCCTTTTTTGGCTAACTTTTCTTTGTAAGTAAGTTTTTTCTTGCTTGTAATTGCTTCTAAACGTTGCTGCAATTCTTGCAACGATTTGGCCCTTGAAGTTTTAGTGCCCAGTACACTAAATCCAGAATTCTGGCCATTCATATCGTCATCTTCTACATCGTTTTCCAAGAAATCTATAAATTATAATGTAAGCCTGAAAAGTCAAGATTGATTTAAAATCTGATATTACCTTTCCTCTCCGGTATAGCAGTAATGGAAAATAAATCTGTAATAAATTTATTTTCACTTATTAAAAACTGTTCCACTTTTTTGGAGTCGAACTTATTTTTTAGTAACTGCATTTTCTTTTGACCTAGTGGTAAGTAATAATTTAAACAGAAATCAACATAAATTATTACTACTAACCTACAAAATACTCGGAGATTTGTAAAAGTTTTATTTAAAGTAGGAGCCACAAAACATATAATACAGTAGGAGTTCTCACTCATACTTTTAAGAATCTACGCTTTAGTACGGGAACGCGTTGTAAGGTGTACTGATCTAAATTAAATAAATAAAATAAAAAACGATGTAATTCGGTGTAGTTCACACTTCACTCGGTCCGGTGCAAAATTGTCAGATGAAAGGCAGTTCCGAGCGGGCAGCCGAGCAGAACACACGTGTTTTGTGAAAGTGTAGTGCAAGGAGCAAATTCTACCTGCCTTTATTAAGGCTACCTGGAAAGACTCCCTTTCTTTCCTCTTAATCACCGACCTAATCCCCGGCTTAAGCATAGAGGCCGTCGGCATCTTTGTTACAGGTACCTGTGCTGGGGTTATGCCCAGGTAAGTCCCACTTCTACTTACTTATCAGTTATTTGCATTATTTTAGAATACATTTCTTTAAAATTGCGACCCCCGACAAACAACATACCAGACAGACAAATACACCAAAAGACACGTACGCCCCCGTACGGGGGAATCCCCACACGACGCGCCATTATTCCATGGCTACGCCATTATTCCATGGCTACGCCATTATTCCATGGCTAGAAATTGTCCTCAATGATTTGGGATCGAGGGGGATTATCCCTCTTTATCCTGCCTCATTTCGTGTAGGCCTGGACAGCCTTCGTAGGTGGGCCTCATCCGTCGTCTACCCCGACCACAAATGCGGCCGGTGTAGGCGTGGGACCTCCTTTTGTCCTGGCTGGGCCCCGCCGGCTAGGGCCCTTTCTTCTGGCGCTCTTCTTGATTCGCCAGCTCGTCTGTGTAAACCCCGGGGGTGGTGTCATGTTTTGGTTGGGTAGGGTAGTGCGGCTATGCAGCCTGGGATGCGCTTTGCTAGCGCGGGAAGGGAGAGGTAAGGAGGGTATGGGGTGTGTGTATGTATGGGGGG